TAGGCTCAAATAGCTCCGATATATTCCCCCTGAAAATAAAAAAAAAACCTTAGCATGAACCATCTCCCTGATCTGATCCTTGGTCAACCCCGGCCTATCCTAGCCACTCGATCCTGATCCTGATCCCCTTGTAAACACCATACTGAAAACAAACCATAGAGATATTAGATAAAATGCATATCACACCATAAAAAACCAACCCATATCAAGACCCTAAAGGTTGTGACTTCCCTGTTATACATATGGGTCATATGCTTCAAGTAGTACGAGCCCATACTACTTTCCGTACCTACCCATATTCGTCTCAGAAGGTCATCACAACAACCCTAACAACATATACTAGAATACATATACACCTTATTCTCACTTCCTATAGAAATGCTAGACATTCCTCAACTGGTCAACTGACCCCACATAACTCATCCATGAAACTTCCACCAACCCTACATCACTCGTGTATTCTAATCATACATAACATTGGATCCTACAGAGATTCAAATACTTAATTCTACCCTAAACCCACAACCAAAAAAAGAATAGGAAATAAGGCCAAATCAAACATTCTCAGGCTATAAAATCTTAGTTATTTATAATTTTCATGCATTCACTAGCAACTATAGTAATGATGTCAATTTCATATAAGGAAGAAACCTGAGGCTACCATACATCTATTATCAAGCAGCTCTATCATGTAATTCCTGGAAATCCTTAGCCTATCACTAGCATGCTATTCAAACATAACATAACATCAAATAATAGTGTACTAACTTGGGTATACTTACTAGCTCCGGTTGATCGTACACATCACATCCTTTCTTGATTATTTTTTAAAACAATTTTGAAAATCATTTGTAAAACCTTTTCAGTTCCTTAGTTTAAGTTTGGATTCACACGGATGTTCTTCCAATTCGCTCAAACCAAAGCTCTGATATCAACTTGTAACGTCTTAAAAATCACAACAAATTCAAACTTTTCAAAACAACCCATTTACTAAAAAGAAGTTGTTACAAAACCATTGTTTCCAAAATATTATTTTAAATTAGAGTCTCCCAGGATCCAATAAACATAAAACCAAGGATGTGTACGGTCATGTCTTTGCATTGCCACGGTCCACTAAAGTAGTTGAAACAAAACTAAAATTGTAAGCTAACGCTTAGTAAGTTCCCCCAAGCACCAACACACGATACAACAAGAAAGCATGCAAACATGAGCAGCCATCCTGACTGGACCACCTCGTAGGGCCTATCGCCTAAGTGCCTAACTGGACCGCTCTACGAGCAACCAACTTAAATGGACCGCCTCGTATGGCCTACAACTGCTTTATGGGCTGCTTGCTTGATTGGACTGCCTCACAGGGCCTACAACCTATTTAGTCGTCCCAGGGTGTCTTGGCGTACGACACAAAGCAGGACCACCTCAACCCAAACCAACATATCGATATATGCAACAAAGAAACATGCACACAAAGCCATAAAATATAGATAAACATACAGATATAATGGATCACAACAACATAACAACATATGATAACCATGATATCAATCCAATGGGCCGGCCTTAGTTCCTTCGACCTGTAATTATAGTGAGGAAAACTCACCTCACAGTCTGACGAATAGCTGATCATTACTATCCTCCCAAATACCATCTCAATCCAAATCCTAAATGCCAGAAAATTTCCATTCTAAATTAATAATATTTCCCCAAAATACTCTTGGTCATAACTGGTCAAAATCAACAAGTCAAACGAGTCAACACAGCCAAGTCAACTCAGGCTTCGTATATGGGGTGTACTCTAGAGGTACGCAGGATGGATTGGTAATCCGAGGCATCAGGGCCAGATTGGTGTACACACAACGTACCATTTGGTACGCCTAATGTACACATTAGTCCCCCTCTTAACTTACTAAGTGCTTATTTCTTCAACTTATCACGTCCAATTGCCTATCCATGGTTAAAATACCATCAAGAGTCATAAAGTTTCCAACTTTATGACTTTACATGTCCATTAATTTCTTAATACACAAAATCTCAACATCTTAATGCCTTAAGCCCTTCTATAGCATATATGGGCTAAAGCTAACCATAAAGACCACATTTTTATGACTTAAGAACCCCCCCCCCCCCCAAAAAAAAGGTCTCAAAGGTCAACTTATTTGATGATCAAGAACATGTTATGCTCAAGAATCACCGTATTTGGGACCAAAAGTCCCCAAAAGGAAGAAATGGCCAGATCAACAAGGTAAGGTGATCGAGTTTTTAACCTTTTATCTCCTAGAGGTTGCTAGCAAGTGAGGAATCCTATATCTAAGTTGCTTCCAAGCTTCAAGGTTCTTGAATCAACTTCTCCTTCTTTAAGAATACGAAAACGACACACAAATGAGCTCAAAACACTCTTCTCACATATGGTTTACTAGATGGTCGAAATCTCAGATGGGGGCTGATGAGACAATGATAAATGAGGCTATAATGGTGTTTATATATGGACCAAACCCTAAAAATTAGGGTTTACAGTTTTTCCATATATGCACTGGATACGAGGTGTACGCCCAACGTACTAGAGTTCGCCCTAGTATGCTCGCGTACACAACATACGACCATTATACTACCCTATTTCCCAAAATCACTGGAACGTCACTATAGGCCATTTTGCACTCTTTCTTATACTTAGGGACTAAAATGCAAGATTTAATCATACATAGGGTTACAATTGAAAATACATTAACATCAGGATGTTACATTTGTGTACATACACATATGAAACTTACTTGGAAAGGGTAAGTATATAAGGAGTTGTAGAATTATGGAACTTTTAGTAGTGCCCCATATTTAAATAAGGATACTACAAGAAATTCCACCAAAACACTAGGTTAGGTCACATTTTACAAGAACAACTCATTGTGATGTGTTATTAAGCAACATATGTAAGGTGCTCAATATAAAGTTGAATGATGAAATAAACAAACTTATCATCACGTGTTTGGAATAAATACTAGGGAATAGATGACAAAAAGATTGGAAAATATGTATAAGGTAATTATCAAGACCTAGGCCATTTAATGAAATATGATGTATTATAGAAATTTCAAGTATTAGGTAATTTGTCCTTAGGATGACCAATATGATATGTATGTTAGTAAAATGACTTGATAATGTAGGAAGTAGGAATCGACAAGTATACCGTGTAAGCATGTTATTAAAGTGAATTGTTGTAACACCTGTGGTCCAGAATTATTTAGCTTTGTAATTATCAGGGGTTGAAGATGGAGTTTGGGTAAAAACTATGTGTCGTGACGTGGTGCAAGGATGCCCACAGCGTGGCATCAAATAAAAGAACACTCATTTCATTGAGCCGTCACAATATGACATTAGGCTGCCACGGCGTGGCAATTGTTCTGGCCCAATTCCATGATTTTTTATGGTTCCCTTCATATTTAAACCCCTCTAAGTCATTTCTAGGTTTCATTACCAGCTTGTAACATCCTTTTACCTCATAGAAACCTTAGCCTCATTTCTCTTAGTGATTTGTGGTGTTTTTGGAGTATTTGTTGCTTGGAGAATAAGAGAATAGGGATAATAAGGTGCTCTAGGGGTGGATATTGCAAGGAAACAACATCTTCAACATCTCACATTGCTTTTGGAACTTTGTAAGTGTCAAAGGTTCAAACTTTATAGCTTAAAGTGGTTAGATATAAGCTATTGTTCAATGCTCTTCATATCTAAGCAAGTTTGAATGCAAGGAACACATAAAGTTGGCAACTTTATGGCTCTCCTAAGTCCCATGAGCAACATATATTGTAGATCTAGACTTTGGTTGGGGGTTCTTGACCTTGAATGAGTTTTTGGTCATTTTATCTTATTTTAACCTAAATTGGATTCTAGACATACATGCCTATAAAGCTTACATCTTTATGCTAGATCTGGTATTAAAAACTCCTCAGGAGTGTTTGGGTTAAGGAAGTTTTTGGATTAAGGGCTTAATGGTTAACATTGTTATACCTAGCCTCATTTAGACCTAAGACTTGAGATCTCGATCTTTTTGAGAGTCTTAATGGATAACTTTGAAAACTTTATCCATTTAGATCATAGAATAGATGATATCTGACTTATAGAGCTCTTGGAATTGAAGAAAATGGCTTAACCCATTAAGTTGTTGGAATCCCAGAATCTACAAACGTGGCCTTAGGCTGTCACGACGTAGCAACTAGGAAATACTCGTCTATTCAGCTGTATGAGGGCACAGTGTGGCGATGGATGGCCACCACGTGGCAGTTGACTTAACCTCGCAAACAGGGCTCAATGGGTAATACGGGCATACGCAACCAATTTTATTGTCATAACCAATCATATATATATATATATATATGAAAAGTAATTTTAGCAAAAAAAAAAAAACATAAATTTGGAAAATGCTAAATAGTGTTTTTTAAAATTATTCTAAATTAGACATATATTATAATTTTGAGTGTTTTTGGTGTAAACAATTATGAAATGAGTCGTAGATAATGACTATTTACTCCAAATACACTATTTATCTGGAAAAAAAATTGAGATTGGGTTTGAGTCTTTGAGATGGTCTTGGCTTTGATTTTCTTTTTTTAACTTAAGCTAAAAATATATAAATTAAAGAGAAAAAGATAGCAAGACACTTATTAGAACACCATAAATCACTCTAAAGTATGTCTATAATCCACCATCTAATATCTTGACCATGACTATTAATCTGAATATAAAGACAAAACTTGTGTACCTTAAGTATTTGCCTAGCCTAAATAATGTGCATTAAGCTCGTCCATTTGCAAGAAAGTCACCCCACTCACCCACACACACACAAACACACATCCATAGCACTTTTACATGCATGCAGAAACAGATACCGATTTTTGTGTGGGCGTATCAAAGGAGTCAGTGTTCTCTTTTTTACCCAAGCACTAAGAAGAAGTACTGTGGCACAGCGTCACTATAAGAAAGCTTAAAGGCTAAGAAACTTCGTCCACTCACTTCAAGAACCCTAATTATTATAATGAATACAAAAAGAGAGATGCAAATTACAAAATAAAAATAACAATAGAAATAAGCAAAACAAAAGCCTCCTCTCCCTTATCTTTGCCATCCCATCATCTTCTTCTTTTTCTTTTTATCCTCCTCTCCTCATCCTCCTCTCTCACTAATCTCTCTTTTCTGTATATTATTCTCTTGTGTTTGATTCCCCACACTCATATATTATCAAAATTAAAACCCTTGAAAACTTTCTAAAAGAGAAAAGGAGAGATCAAATTAATTTATACCATGGTTTTCTCATCCGTTCCACCCTATCTAGATCACCACAATTGGCATCTCCAGGTATGATCTTTAAGCTTATCTCTTTGATACATGATCCTTTTTTTCAATGTTTCATATTAATTTTTCATTCAAATGAAAAAGGAAAAGCATATATGTAAAAGAAGGATGATATATACTCATTCATACATATTCTCTTCAAATCTTTTTCTTGAATATACCATGTACATAACTACCTCTTGTAAGCTCATCTGTTTTCTTTTTTCTTTCTGTTTTCTTGTTTATTTTTTCCTATCAGTTGCAACAATCCAACCATCAACAAGCAAGTGGTGCTGGTGGCGAAAATCCTAATCTCCCACCACCACCACCTCCTCCACAACCTGGTGGTGGTGGTGGTGGTGCAAATGGAGAAGGTTCGATCAGACCAGGATCTATGGTAGATCGAGCAAGGATGGCCAAGTTACCCATGCCGGAGCCAGGATTAAACTGCCCACGTTGCGATTCCACCAACACCAAGTTTTGTTACTTCAACAACTATAGTCTAACCCAGCCTCGGCACTTTTGCAAGACATGCAGGCGCTACTGGACACGAGGTGGTGCTCTAAGAAATGTTCCAGTTGGAGGAGGTTGTCGGAGGAACAAAAGGAATAGCAAAAACCGAAGCTCAAAATCTCCAAGCCAAACCGGGCTTAAATCTGTTAGTGAAAGTCCATCAAGGTGTAGCGCAGAGACTATGGCAAGTACTCAACTTCCTCATCCTCCCTCTCTTCAATTGCCATTCATGAGCTCTCTGGGTCAATATGGAGGTGGTGGTGGTGGAAATATTAGTTCAAATCTTGGTGGATTTCAGTCTCAAAATGAAATGGGTAATTTTCAATTAGGAAGTGGGAGCTCAACTGGGAACAATTTTAACAATATTTTATCAATTGGAGGGGTTGAAAATTGGAGATTGCCTTTCATGGCTGGATTTGAGGTACCCAGTAACAGTAATCTATTTCACTATCAAAGTGAAGGTGTAGCTGACGCACCATCATCATCCATGGGAGGAGGAGGAGACATACGAATACCAAACTCTGAGATTGATAATAATCAGGTAGATCCTCCAGTGAAGATGGAAGACAATCGAGGCTTAAATTTATCAAGGCAGTTTCTTGGTGTTTCGGAAAGTACAAATAACCAACCATGGGTGGGAACTGCATGGGCTGGATTTTCTGGTGTCAATAGTACTTCCACTACTCCTACTACACATTTCCTATAATCTGATTTGGTTTTTCAGGGGTTTCATAGGGAGGGAGAGAGAGGATTTCTTAGTAGATTAATTAAAGGATTTCAGCTCAAAGTTGCATGTAGCAGTCTTATAAGGGAAGCAATGAACTGAATTTAAGTTGGATCGTTTAATCCCTAGGTAGCTAGAAAGAATGTGATATGCTCTCCAAGGTCGACTAATGTAGTGTTCCACATCCGCCATCCACTGATGAAGCTAGGGAGAATTAATGGTAGGTTTATGTTGTATGTTAAGTTTAATTTTCCAGTATCATATGATGTTTGTTGATTTTATTTATGTGTTGGTGAGTTTACTTGTACTTCTACGTGGAGTGTTCCGATAATTTCTGTGTGCTTGTGTGGTACATTGCTAATCGTGTATTATTTGTTAAGAATAATCTGTTTATTTGGGTTTTCTCTAATGAAATTTTTGATAGCTTCAAGAATTAATGTTGACAACTTCATCCTGATCAATCATCTTGGCCTTGTTGTATACATAAGAAATTAAATCACATTAATTAATTGTGCATGCGGTGCATTTTGTTAGTATCTGCAACGATTACTTATATATAAAATTGATGATGTTCCACAAATGCATGTTTATGGAATTCGTGATATATGTGTGTTAGAAAATTTTGAGCAACGTTGTCTTTTAAGAAAAATAAATGATCAAAGGATTCAATCTGTAGGAGATGTTTGATTATCTAATTTGCTCATTGTTGTCTAGAAATTTTATATATTTCGCATTTATTTTCCTTTGCAGTCACTCATTGTGGCTGTCCATGAATTCCAGAATTATTTGCAAAATGCAAGAGTTTCCCTTCTCAAAGAAGAAAACTGAAAGTATATCAAATCAAATATGTATTTCAGTAATGTGTGTAAAAGATAAATCAGAAAGATTTTAAGGTTGTTAACGTCCTGGCAAGTGATTTCTTACTAACAAGTCACTTTGATGCTAACAATTGTTTAGGGTACCATAGACAACTAGATATTAATCCTCCCTAAGCATGACCAAATACATTCCTAATTATGAACCATTTTCAGTCATGCTTCACGATCCCATTTTTGTAGTTACTGTACTTAATTTGTTGTGCTAGAGGGAGAAACAAATGATTCAGCTTTTCCTTGCGTCTTGTTTCAAACTTAGCTTCTTTATTTGTAGTTCCAAATCTTATATCATAAACAAATATAAAAGGAAAAAGGAAACGTGCTGTAAAATCTGTTAGTCATCATGAAACACACAAAAACGTGTGTAAGTATATATATATATATATATATATATATATATATATATATATATATATATATATATATATATATATATATATATATATATATATATATATATATGTGTGTGTGTGTGTGAGTGTGTGTATTGGTATGTATTAATGGCAGCAAGTATGATAATGTTGAAACGAGCGCAAAGTCGCTGTAGAAAACGTCAAAAATCCACTCAGAACCATGCAACTATATATTTCACCTACAGTTATCTCAGAAAGATTATTGATTTTGAAGATGATGGCGGACTACAAGGCATTGATTATAAGTTCAAAAGAATAAATTTGGTCTCTTCATATTTTGAGGGGATGTCCTGTGTGTGTGAGAGAGAAAAGATAAAGGAGTACGTAGTTTGAGAGCAAATCTTGGACTGATAACGAGGGGAAAAAAGTGAAATGAAGGGTGATTGCTTGAAAATAGTGTGATGAGAGATTGATTGTTAATTTGTAGACTAAAAAGTAAGGGAAGGAATCTGGCAAGGATAGATATTGCTTTATTGAAAGGACCAACACCCTCCATTAAAGCTTTATGCCCAACCCATGGAACCCTAAGCTCTTCCTACCCCTTAAACCACTCAAAAGAGAAATAAAGCAATCATAGAGAAAAGAAGGTGGTTCAAAAAACCATGAGGTTGTTTCTTCGGTTAGGTGTTATTTGCACTACATTTTAGTATATGTACAATTATTACCCTCTTTGTGTTGGAAAAGGTACAAGGATTGATGTATGGTGTAATTTAAAAATAAATCATAAAACGTTTAAAAAGTGATAAACACTTACTGTAATCAGAATATTTAATTGATTGTGACATGTTTGTTTATGATGCTTCGATTTTATATGAAGCATGTAGTGAATAGAGTTTCATCTCAAATAATAACAAGTTTGCAAAGTTTAGCATCTACCTAGACAACTTCGACGTCATTCTCTTTATAGAATATATGGAGCCGAGAAGTTATGTTTGATACTCTTTGATATTAGATATCCGTTAGTATATCATTCATGAACTTAGTTCCTTGATTTTCTATGATCGGGTGCTATATCAAGGCATCAAGCACATTGAGATCCGAATTCATTTTGTTGGTAGCCATGGGCATTGTTCATGTGGTTCACATGCCTTAGAGTTCGCAGGAAGATGACTTCTTCACAAAGGGCCACCCTAGATTGCTATTTAGTGATTTTAAATCCATTTTGAATGTGTGGGCATCTCCTTTCGATAAAACTCCATGGTATGTTAGACATTATGTAGATACATTACTAATCTAGACATGAACAAAAAGATTAATAGACTTAGATTGGTCCCAAAAAAGACCGGGACCGGATTGAAAAAAAACCGTACTAAAAAAAAATTGGATTGCTTCTGAAAAAGAACAGACTATTTGGACACAATTCCCAAAAAATTGGACCGTTCTGAGACCGACATAAGAGCAAACCGACCCAAAAATGACCAGAGACCAATCTTAAGAAACAGAAGCGAAAGTTTATATGCGTATACTTTTTTAGTTAACTTCATATTTTTTAATCACACATTACTCTATTTCTTCCTTTCTTTTTTATTAAATTTAACTTTATCATTTTTGTTAAATTTCAATATATTATTTTAATGTTAATCACATATTTTTTAATTATGAAAACTCGACATTTAAATGACAAAACCAAAAAATATCGAAAACGGTCCAAAAATAATTGAACCATTTTGAGACTGACCATGCAGATCGCTAGCGTCTTGTACAACTCGATTAGAGTATCATCGTCTCATTGCCCATCATGTTATATAATTCTCAAAAACTTAAGGAATGGTAATTTTTTGTTTTGTTTTAGACATTTGTCATTAAACTTTTTTGTTCTTACACTTTTTTGTCCCTTTATTATAAAAGTTTGTGGTCTTCAAAAGCTTAAAGAATAGTAACGTTTCTTTGTTTTATACATTTGTTACTAAACTTTTCTATTCTTATATTTTTGTTCTCTTACTACAAAAGTTTGTAGTTTTTAAAATTTAGTCATAATATTTTCCACGGGTTTTCAAGTTTAGTCCATTAATTCTCAAAAGCTTAAGGAATAACAAAGTTCTTTTATTTTAGATATTTTGTCGCTAAACTTTTCGATTCTTACACTTTCAATCCCTTATTACAAAATTTTATGGTCTTCAAAATTTAGCTATAATATTTTTCACAGTTGGCCAAGTTTAGTCCCTGCTGTCTTTTATTGTAAAATAAACCGACCCGGCAATACATATTTTTTTTATTTATTAGAGACAAAAGATTTGAATTTGGTTTTATGCATTCTGTATTCTTAGCTACATTTATTCTACATAAAAGAGTAATACATATTTTTTTAACGGCTATCATAAACACCTTCTAATTCTTACACTTAAAGGGCCTAAACTACAATTTTTACTAACGAAATGACTTGAACAATCAACCTATTATGTATGAACACATCTTCAACACTTTGATATGGCTAGAACACATCTTCAACACCTTCAATATTGCGAGATGAACACATCTTCAACATATTGATATGGTTCACATGATGGTGATTCTTAAAATAGACATATCAACTTCACCATATTGTCTGATAAATTGAAAAAATAGTTTTTAACTAAAAAACTTGTTGATAAACGATTTTGTTAATGAAGCAAATAAATATTATATTAATAAAACTAAAAAATACATAAAATTAAAAGTACCTTACTCTAAAAATAAAAATCAAATTGATATTAATAAAGTAAAATTACTCATTATTATATTTTGCAAAAATTCATTTGGAGCTTTAAAATTGCCTAGAGATTTTTCGGCGAAAGATCCAGATTAAGTGTATTTGGTGGTCTTTAACCATTTTGTTTCTCCCATAACTATGTTGTTTTGAATTTTAATTTCTTTAGAAAAAACACAACAATAACTATAGGTTTTAGACACGTCACCACTAACTTTAGTGGTGTAACGTCCCTAATTTTCAAACAAATTTTCATTCTTAAATCAAAAGAAATCATTCAATTTTCCTTATAAAAAACAACAAACCAATTGTTTTGACAACATAAATCAGAGTCAAGATAAATCAATAGTGTGGAAAATCTCAAAATCATATTAACAGAAACGATTCAATCACGTCGTGCTCTATTCTTTGCTGTTAGAATATAAAACTTATTGAGTTCCCTATAATATCACGTACAATACAATAACGGGCACAACCCATCAAGCATATAAGCAGACCCAACCCAACAGGTCCAATCCAATAAACATATAAATGTGCACAAGTGATATACCTGTTTTTTCGGCCAAAAGAACCGATTTATTTATGCTTATTAAATCAGAGTATCATTTTAAAAAGATTTACTTTGTGGAATTTGGGAATTTGTCCCCAAAAAATGATATTAATATTATCAAGACATTTTCAAGAAATGTATTTTGTTTTTAAAACTCGGGATGTCGTCATCAATACAAGGAACATGAGCGTAAACGAAGACTTACAACATCTCTTTATATTAATAATCTATATCTCATTTGAATCTCGCGGAAGATGCCTATCTCATCATATATAATTACCTGCGATACAATAAATTGAGTGGATTATGTTGGAAAACCTAGTGACTACATAGTGTTTTCTGATGGGTTTTCTCTAATATACACACAAACTTTCATTTTCCATGGTATTACCCTAACTAGCATACAGAACTTGATACTTGAGTGATAAAACTAGTTAGATAACATACCTTTTTTTGTAGCTTGTTGCTTGGAGCTTTAAGAGCGTACCACCAATAATGTGAATGCCTAAAGTGGAATCACAAATCACCACTAACACTTGGAAGACTTGGAAGAGGACTCATTTGCTCACAAAATCGGC